GACTTATCCTATGGTGCACTGATGCTTCGCCCTAAAGTCATATCCTCAAATTCGATACGTATCTGATACCAATACTCGTCGATACACGTTATGTACGTATTGAGCATGTATCCATAATTTAATAAAAGTATTAGGCTTATTTTAAAAAATATAAAAACTTTCGTTACCCGTATTTGTGGACGGATACACGTATCTAACTATATAACCCTGATTTCACACACGACTTGATGATGATAACATTTCTTCTTCTTCTCTCATCTAAAAACATTTTAATTGTGAATGTTGGTTAGTAACTTAGTATCCTTCAATTATGGCAATGTTTTCACTGCATGAGGATATGTAATCTGTTATTAAAATATGATACGGTAGCCTAGATGGACAAAAATGCCATGCCCCTGTCAAATTCACTAAGAAAGCAATTCACGGCTCCATCTAATACTAGTATGGCGTATAAGATACTCCATAGTCATGTCCATTCCTAGGACTATTTAATACTACGTATTTTTAATTTTTAATGACATTGGGGTTTTAAGTATAAAAGCCCATATTTAGTTTATACGGATTGAGATGTATCATGTATATATGTAGGGTAATTCTAAATACAGCCCATTATTTACTATATACAGCCCCTAATCAGATTAAATGTCTATTACATCCTTAATATTGTTAATCTGTGATGGAAGCGAATGATATAACGGAAGCACGAGACCAAGTTCAATGGCAGGATAACCTTCTCTTCTCATGTCCTTGAAGGGAATGAACTGGCCCATGGCACACACGGGTGATGAGTTCCATCAAATAGCAAATCTCTTTTTTCTCGCATAAAATCTTCAAGAACATCGTCCGGAAACGGCCTCACAAAATTGTTGTTGCTTAAGCAAGAAAGCTTCCGCTGTGATTGCGAGGATGGAAGAAAACCGCCGTTGTGATTTGCAAGAAAATTGCAGCTGTGATCGTTGCTTGGATTCCCAATTTCCCATATTTGTTTGGTGTAATCTTTTGTTTATCCGAAGTGGCAATATCATAAGTTTAAACCCTCTGTTTCCTTGTTCGTAAATCAATAATTGTGGTATTCGGCTATTGTTGATAAAACCTCCAAACTGTGACTCGCTAGCTTCATGGTCCGAGATAAGTTTTTGACAGAGAGCTTTTTAACTTTAATGAGAAAGCTGGAAAGAAGAAAGGTTGTGGAAGAAAAGCTTACTACGAAATGAGAAAAGCTCGAAGCAGGGAAGGTCGTGACCCAAAGTGAAATAGAAGATCGGCCATCACAGTTTATAATGATAGGGATATAATTGGCAATTAATTAAATTAGAGGCTGTACTTAGTAAAATGTAGGCTGTATTTAGAATTACCCATATATGTATTTACAAATTAAAGAAGCACCATTTAGAAAATCATGTTCACATTGAACATATGGAGTACTCTCGAAATGATTTAAATTGAAAAGATATACGTGCTTGAAATTCCTAAATTTTAAGATATGTTGATTAGTGTATTGAATTATTTAATACTTTAATAATTTTTTGCTCCAACCTTTATAGGATTTTATTAATTAAAAAACACTCTATTAATTTACAAGATTAAGGATATGTTAATATTCTAAATTAACTGATATCATTAAGTCTTTGTTTCTAAAAATTGAGTTGCCCAAAGCTATGAAGTCATGAAGAGATTATGCTAAAATGTTTTAAATAAGGCTAAAGGGTCAAATAGACCTCTGTATACTTCTGGATTGTTCAATTTGCCTCATGAACTAAAAAAAACTCTAATTCACACTTTGAACTCGATAAAAGGATTCAAATTTCACTTTTTGCAAGTTATGATCGGTCATCGCCACATCACCAGGTAGGGTGTCAATTGTGCACATGACGTGGCAACTTACCAAATCGTTCAATTCACCCCCTCAACCCGTAAAAGCTTCAAAATTACGAAAAAATAGAAATAAAAAATAATTTTGACCTCTTAAATTGAGGGGGTAAATTGAACAATTTGGTCGGATTCAGGAGCTTGTTTGACCCCTTAAGTTGTCACGTCAGATGTACAGTTGGCAATTTACCAGATGACGTGGCAATGATAGGATCATGACCTGCAAAAAGTAAAATTTGAATGTTTATATAGAATTCAGGGTGCCAGTTGAAACATTTTGTAGTTCAGAGGTAAATTGAGCATTTCGAACGAGTATAAGGGCATTTTTGACCCTATAGCCTTTAAATAATGATTGACACATAAAACTCATAAAATTCTATTGACGTGCAAAAAATGGAGTCATATATCATAAAAATTGAAACTAAAAACTAATAAACTTATGCTTGAAATGCCTAAACTAAAAATATATGATGTGTTATTAAAATATTTCATACTTAATTGTTTTTGGCTCAAACATTTAGAGCGATTGAATTAATTAAAAAAAGTACTCTTTATTATAATTATAGGGAATGTCAAAGGAAGATGTTTATTATTTCTAGTGACTACAACTTCATATTCCATAACAATGAGTAGTTGACAAGAATATCAAGATATTTTCATGGGGTGACACATGATTCAAGTTATGCTAAACTTGAGATATGAGAAGAGTCGTGACTATATCGTCTAATGGGAAATGTGGTCTTTCTAATATACATTATTGTTGAACAATGTTAATGATCAAATTGTATTGTTGGGCGTTGGCTCTCGCGCATTGCGCGTGAATGACGCTAGTACACTTAATAAGTATCAATTCACTCCACATCTAAATCAATTGTGTTTGATATATAAGTAAGAAGCATAAGATGTGGGACATTGGTCAAGATGATTCTGGGAGTATGGAATATATTGAAATACTTGAATTTGTCAATATATCGCTTGGTTAGCCTGAATTGATATCAGTCTTGTAAATGCAAATAACGAATCACATGCTGCATGAATTTAAATTTAAATATTAGTACTTTAGTTTTATTTTTTACTCTAATCTTTGACTTATATTATGGTTTCTAATTTTGAATTTTTATTATGGTTGTTAATTTTGGGTAATATTATTGCTTTATTTATAAAACTCTGGATTATATATATTTACAAATTGTGCCCTGTAATATTAATATTTTTATCATTTATAAATTTGTTTTCGTACCCGTATCCTATACTTGTTGAAGTTGCCTATTGTCGTACCCATATTCGCGTATATGCATATCAATACACGTGCAACATATGACTTATCTATAAACTTACAGCGTGTTTGGCACAACTAGCTGAAAAGATAGATTTATGAGCTCTTTAATAATTGTTAGCTTTTAGTGGCTGAAAAATCTAAAAAACAAAAGGTAATACTCCCTCCGTCCCATTAGAAGGTTCCCGTTACGGTTTAAGATGTTAAACTGACGATAAAGCAACTTAATCTCTGTTCACACTCTGATTTTTTTTAGTAAATAAAATTTACATATTCAGAAACTACATTAAAACCGCTACAAAGCCTGATAAAAATGTAAATTTGATAAAAGTTTGATATATAAAGCAAGAAATCAAAATTGATTTAAGTTGACCATATGAATAGTGGACATGAACCTTCTAATGGGACAGAGGTAGTAGATGTTTCATAAGAAGCTACATGTTTGATTTAGAGCCCGTTTGGTAGCACCAAATCAGCTGTTTTGCTGATTCTGCTGAAATTTCTGAAGTTCTGGCTGAAGTGGCTCCATTGGCTGATTCTGGTGATTTAAGAAACAAGTATTTTTAAAATATTTTTTATCAATAAAATAAAGAAAAAGTATATGTAAAAATAGCAAAAATGGTCATCTACACTAACTTCAGCCAAAACAGTCAGAAAAGTAACTCCAACCTTACTTTTTCTGCTTATTACACAACTCAGCGCGCGAAAGTAAAAGTTACGTGTTTGGTGAAAAAGTTGACTGATAAGTCTGATAAGCAGAAAAACAGTGCTGCCAAACGGCCTCTTAGTTCTATTTGTCATACAAGTTATTTGGATTCATTAATGTTAAAAGTTAGACTTTTCTTCAGATGTTATTCAATGTAGCATCTTAAAAGTGATCTTTTATTTTAAAAAACATTTAAAAAAATTCATGCCAAGCATTCAACAATTTCAACTAAAAGTCTTTGACGACTTTTTGAGCAGTACAAGAGCTAGAAGTTAGGGACTTTTGCAAATCAACATAATTCATTCATAAAAAGTTCATGGATTTAAAATTCTATGAATTTTTTCAAAGGTCAATGTATTAAAAAAATCACTACAATCTAGTCAGGTATGCTTCCGCTAAGTTATTTCTATAAATAATTTGAATATGAAGATTAAAGTATTATCAGATTTATTCCAACAATATTTTCTTCAAACTTTAGTAAATAATGTGTCTTTAATGAAACAATATTGTATGAAAGCTGAAATTTCAAAATATCGGTTTCTTGATTTTAGTGTTTTTCTATTGAAGTTTGTTCGCAAATTATGAGCTCGTTTGGTGACCATATTTTTCGGATTATCAATCAATTTTTTTCACAAAACAAGTAACTTTTGATATTGCCCTCTAAATTGTGTAATAGTAAGAAAAAACAAGATTGAAGTTACTTTTCTGGCCGTATCGGTTGTTATTGTAGAGAGCTTTATAAATTTTTGCATACAATTTTTTCTCTATTTTCATACTCTGACTACTTAAGCCGCCAGAGCTTTATAAATTTCAACAGAATCAGTCAATACAGTCGATTTGGTTATTACCAAACGGGTTATGTCTCGTTGGAAGGTTAACACTTTCCTTATTTAGGTGTACCATTTAAAGGTTTGCATTGCACTTTAGGAAATAATTTACTATCTTTAATTACACACTTACTCAAATTTTTCTTTCCTACTCATTACACGTTAAATCTCATAATTTCCCCTTTCTCACCTTATCTTCATGTAATTATTTTCACTTTATATATTTACTTATACTAAATTTTCTCTTTCCTTTTTTAGGCAAATTAATTTATTTAATCATCACTTGCCTACAAAATACTACGTACTTCGTTGTATGCAGTTATGCACTTCGTATGTGATAGAAGAGGCCCTTAGACAAAAAAGAAAACTGCTAACATGAGTGTATCGACTGTCCATCAGGCCCAAATGAAAAAAAAATGAATTTGTTAGCAACTCGCGACCTTGCTGTTCATACACGGAGACTGCGGGTCTGTACAGCACTGCACCAGCTACACAACGAGGCAGCGACCAGCCAGCCAACGAGAAGACGACTCTGCTGGCCGCCTACAGACTAACGGCTACCGAGCGCTGCCGGCTGCTCTAGCTCGTAGATCCGCCGCACGCCCAGCCTGATTGCAGGTCAGTCGCCGCCGCCACCCGCCCGTCTGCTGCACTGCCGCACCTACACGTCGTATAAATCCCCCAATTTCCGTCACTATTCAACAAGGTAAATTATTCTAGATTAAGAATTTAATTTCAGATTGGGTTGGATTTTTTGACATAGGTGGCTAATTCCAGATTTAATTACTGAACTTCTATGCTCAAAACTTGATATTCATACCATCATTGAGTATTCTTATTGAAAACTCAGCATAGTATATTAATATGAGTATATGACTGAAGATATTGTTTAAAACTCGTTATATTATGATTGAAAACTCGATGCTTTAATCTTGTAAGATGAAAATTAGTCCCATTGTTTAGTGTTAAACTAGTAAAACAATACTCATATCATTTTTAATATCATTGTGGGTATTAATGCCATTAATTGGACGTGTAGTATCAGTATGATAGTGATTGTTGTGAGTATTAATCTCATCGTTTAGCATTATTCCCATTAGCTTTTGTTAGTATCGATCCTATTGTTTCAAATATTGACCGTTTTACTTTGTGTAACATATCATATGATGTGGTGGAATTTGGATTGTAGTAGAGTTAAAAAAGGTGATCAAGATAGATTTAAGGAGATAATGTAAATCTTTCAAAAGAGAAGCTAATGAAGATATCATTATCAAGCTACACTTTTTATATTTGTGATGTGTTTTTTGTATTGAGAACCCTAAAAGTTTTGAATTTGTGATGTTTTTTGTAAATGACTTGGGTGAAAACTCTTATTCTTGTAAACTTCTATAATACTCCGGGTATCTATTTTTATATTTTATGCAATTGAAATTGAAACTATATTATATACTCAATATATGAATATTTTGGTCCCGCCTGCATTGGAATGCTAGACTGCTCCTAGGTAAGGGCACGGTGGCGCTTCGTTTGCACTTTGCATACACAGACAAGCAAACAACACTCTGTTACTATATTACATGCTGTCTAATAAAGTGTTTGCGCGTTTTACTCCCAAATCTAGAAGCATTAAATGTATGTTTTCTTTTTAATATTTTCTTTAAATTTTAGCAAATTATGTGTCTTCAATAAAACAGTCTCTTATGAAAGGTGAAAATTCTAAAATATCGCTCTCTTGATTTTAGTGTTTTGCTATTGAAGCACGTCCTCAGATTATATATACTTCGTTAGCTCAAAGTTGGTTGTAGATACGACTTACCCCATAATCTGTAGAGAAGAAGCTTCACAACTGTCTCTACACGGAGTTTTCAATCCATGGAGGTTTTGACTGACTTATAATAACATGTAATGGACTAATGGCTATGTCTGGCTCAATGTCTCGAATCAGGAGATTTTTCATTCTTTTTCCTGTCAAGCCATTTTATCCCTCATCTCCTATCCCCTGGTCAAGTTCAAGATACTCAAAGCCAATTGCAGATCTGTCATCAACGTCGGGATATAGAAATCCATTTATTCCTCTAAATATTTGGTGGGGGCAAAGAAACTTTAGTCATGGAACTGTGAATTTTGTGATATCTTCGGATGGGAAACCGAGATTTGAAACTTTAGAAACAGACCCCCCTAAGAAGGAAAAATGGGTTACAAAGAAACGGCTGAAAGAGAAGAGGAAGAGAGAGAAAAAGAAGAGGAAAGCGGCAAATAAGAGGGATCCCCGAAGGCTGGGAGTCAAGGGAAAGAAGAAGAAGCAGAAGTTTGCTACCGCTGAAGAAAGAATTAAGAACAAGATTGAAAATGCAAAGGTTAAAGAAGCAATGCTAGTTGAGAGATTAAAGCGTTATGAGGTTTCCAAAGTTCAAGGTCCTGAAGTCATGCCACACAACCTCACTGGGGAAGAAAGATTTTATATAAAAAGAATGGCCCAAAAAAAGTCAAATTATGTCCCGATTGGTAGAAGAGGTGTGTTTGGAGGTGTTATTCTTAATATGCATCTCCATTGGAAAAAACATGAAACTGTTAAGGTCTATTGCAAGCCTTGTAAACCTGGTCAAATAAAAGAGTATGCTGATGAGATTGCCAGATTGAGTGGTGGGATCCCGATTCAGATAATTGGTGATGATACCATAGTTTTCTATAGAGGTAAAGATTATGTGCAACCAGAAGTGATGTCACCAATTGATACACTGTCCAAGAAGAAGGCATTGGAAAAATCCAAGTATGAGCAATCACTTGAGTCTGTAAGGCGCTTTATTGCCATTGCTGAGAAGGAACTTGAACTCTATTACAGACATGTAGCTCTTTATGGTGATCCCAGTGACCGTAACCCTCATTCCATCCTTAATAGCTCTACAAGAAAAGAAGGGGGAGAGAAGCTCAAGGAGATAAAGGAGGATTCTTTAATGGCAAAAGAAGATTTTTATGAATCCGAAGTAGAAGCAGATTGCTCTGGTCGGGAGTTATCAGAATACGAAGATGGATCAGAGACAGAAACAGATAATTCTAACCAAGAGCTGTCAGATTACGATGATTGTTCAGACGAAGATCAGTTGGCAAGTGAAGCAGAATCTGTGGGTGAAGAGAGGTATCTATAAAGTTTAAGTTTTAGCTAATTTTGGTGTGAAAGTGGGCCTATTGCCTGCACACGTGTAGGAATTTGTTGGTAGAATCGATTGCTAACCTGTAAATTTAGATCCATTAAAAGATTCTCTTTCCTGATTTAAAAAAATTCAAGCTTTTTTAAAGTTATGTTGTTTAGGTTCATCTGTTTAAAATATGTTTATATGAATTCTAGGTTTTGTTTCAACTGAGAAGTGTGCTCTATCTATTTGGTAGTGGCGTGATACATTCCATTGATATGAAGTAGAATCTAGGCTTGGAAGAAGAGGGACAGAACCCCCCGTGGGTAAACTGAAGGCGGGACGGGCTTGACCCCACCTTCGTAGGCTGGTTGCGGGCTGTTTAATTAATATTTATTCTTTTTAATTTTCCTGATTTGTTTCCTATTTGGAGTTAATTAGGATTTCTATTATTTGTTTCCTATTTGAAGTTGATTAGGATCTTTATTATTTTGTTTCCTAGTTGGAGTTGATTAGGATTTGTAGGATTTTGTTTCCTAGTTTGAGAATTAGTACATGGGTATTTAAACCCCTTGTTAGGATTCATTCTGGCTCATCTGGGAATAAAATTGGTTTTAGCCTTTTGGCTCTGGGCAACGGTTCACCCCGTTGATTTTATTTTTCCGTTACATAACATCCATTTACTTGTTTACTTAGATAGTTACTAACACAAATAGTTGCTAAAAAATATTATTTGCATATGCAAGGAGTTACTGAAAGTTTCAATACTCCCTACCTTTTTTATTATTTGCTTTGTATTCCTTTTCTAAAAGTTTCTTCTATTTGCAATTAAGCTTGGTGAAACCCGTCCCAGAGCAAACAATAAACAATAGAGGCAGTATTAACTTATTTTTCACTTTTTGATAGAATATACAAAGGAGATGCGAAGTTCACAGGACGTACTGTAAGGTCTTGTTTATGAACCATAGTTAAGAACTAAGATGGCTATCCTGTAAGTTCTTTTCATGATCAATGATCATCTTTTGTACCATTAATGCACGCAACTTCAAAAGCTTTCAGAGTATCAGGACCAAGTGCTTTAGTACCTTAAACACGTTGTTTTTCCATGGGGGAGGGGTGCATGAATTTTTTTCTAATCATCCTGGTGTATTTTGAACAGCTATATTTTTTGCAAGAATAGTACTCAGTGACTGAGTTGCAAACATGCATGAATATTCTAAAGTCAAATAGTTTGCTGCTTTCATCTAGATCATGAATGTAGTATATGGCCAAACCTTAACACGGATAGAGAGAAAGATGATGAATTATAACAGGTACTTATGAGAGATCTATATGTCGAGTTGTTCTCCTGGTGCAGAAACTATCTTGTGCCGTGCTTCTAGGACATACTGTCATTATGATTAGACCATAATGTCTCACTGATTTCATCTCTATCCACCTATGCTGTTACGTACTGAACCATTATGATATGGGTGTATTTGGAACAGCTATAATTTTTGGCAAGAATATTACTCCCTCCGTCCCAGGGAGAAGTTCCCGGGTTGACTTTCACACACATTAAGGAAATAAAGTTACTGGGGGGTAAATTTTACTGTTTGGCACTGTTTCGACACTGTTTGGCACTGTTTCAACACTATTTTGCACTGTTTTGCACTGTTTGACACTGTTTTGATGTAGAATAACTTTCCATTTAGGGAAATGGGAACTTCTTGTTGGGACTGCCAAAAAAGGAAATTGGGAACTTCTCCCTGGGACGGAGGTAGTATTCAGTGACTGAGTTGCAACATGCATGAATATTCTAAAGACGAATAGTTTGCTGATTTCATCTGGATCATGAATGTAGTATATGGCCAAACCTTAACAAGGATAGAGAGAAAGATGATGAATTATAACAGGTACTTATGATAGATCTATATGTCCAGTTGTTCTCCTGGCGCAGAGACTATCTTGTGCCGTGCTTCTAGGACATACTGTCATTATGATTATACCATAGTGTCTCACTGATTTCAATTCTATGCAGTATCCACCTATGCTGTTATGTGCTGAAACATTATGATCCTAAATGGGAATTTGAGAAGGGACTCAAACAAACATGTATGGCTATGCATGAAATAGTCGCTGGATTGGAAATCGGTTGAGATCCCTTACCTCGCTATCTTTTGAAATCAAAATTCTCTTAGTAGCTTTTGTGCTGAATTTTCTACTTGTCTCTTACTTTTATGTAACGTATACAGTCTCCTAAACTATCACTTGCTCAGTTCCTCTGCCCCAAAACAAGAGTTTTCGTGCATGTTTTTGGTTTACTGAATTTATCATGAAAACTTGTTAGTAACCTTTTCGGGGAAATGTAAACGAAAATAAACTCGTTTTTAGAAAATGGTCTAGTTTTTGTGACCAAAACTAACTTTTGAAAAAGATCTCTTTCTTTTCGTACGGAGGGAGTCCAATAGCTAAGAATATGAATCTAGCAATATCTATACCATTGAATACCTTTGACTAATAAAACACGATCTTAGTTATCTAACTCAATAACTAAATAATAACTAGACTTCAGTCTTCCAATGTTTCTGCTCTGATAGCCGTACTCTGCATTAGTGGTAAAGTCAGTGCAGACACCTATAGGTGTCCACTAGGAAATCAAATCACTAATAGTTCTGCTTGGGGGACTCAATGATCGGGTAGTGTTCCTATAGGGGTGAATTGCCAGTGGTTCTTCCGTAGGTGGGAAAGTGCTCTGCTTGGGCCCCAGTAGGGGTAGATTATCTACTAATTTCCTTTTTTGGTTATTTCTCCAGGTGCTTATTGTTTTTTCCTTTTCTTGTGAAAGTTTTCATATTATGTTTCCTGAATACACAAAGTATGATCTAGTATATGCTTATGGCTTACGTATTTCTTTTCGATTCGTGGTATAAAAGAGCTTGCCCATAACAGATTAACAGTCTAGTTTTTAAATATTTGATTACCTTTAAACAAACTAATTGCACCACTTTGCTACAAGCAAACTTGAGATGGCATTAAACTTTGGAAGAAGATACAAGAACTGAATTGGCACTCCTTGTCATAGTTTTGCTTTCTCGGAATAACCATTCTTGGGAATGAAAGGACAAGTACGTTAAAGAAGCTACCAAGCTGCTACTCTTAACACCTAAGGTCCCATTTTGTCATTTGGACGAAATATTAGGAGCCAAAAGCTTTAGAGGGTTAGGCTTTATTTTGATGTATTGAATATCTCAAAATATGAATAAAAAAGGTATTGAAATGTTATACAATCACATATTTAAAAAAAATCAAATGTATGTCAAAAAATAGACTAAGCCCTCTAAAGCCTTCACTTCAAATATCTCCATCCAAACCAACCTTGAAAGTTTAGAGAATCACTCAAATAAAGACCATTACCTCATGTCGTTGTGATAATATTAAATTGTAATAAGTGTTTGAGGAAATCAGCAACATTCCTTTATTTAAACATTCCCTTTTTTCCCTTAAAAAACATAAATTTATACATTTTTTTTCCTGTTATCATAGTATGTGAAAATATAGATATGGCATTTCATATTCATCGTACACTTGCAACGTACCATGAGTATGGAAGTTTAATTTTTATCATTTTTTTTGCTAGGATGCATATGGCTTGTAATTTGAACCAGATGGTGAACCCGCTTGATCCATAGCAGTAGTCTGATGATGTTTTTCTACACCTTTCATGATCGAACTGTGACCAACTTTTTCATGCTTTCTGATTTCTTCATCAATATGCAGATCTTCATCAATGGTCAGAAAAGTAGTTTGTGTGCCATGTGGACCTGGGATAATCGCTTCATGAACTTTTATATGCTCATCCAGCTTTACAACATCTCTTTCTTTAAACATTCTTTTCTTTCTCTTTTTGATAAAGCAACATAGTGCCACAGAGAGAAATGCAAGAAAGAACAGACCACCAAGTGAGACAAATATAATGATGACATGGGAATGATGTCCAGGTGGCGGTGGAGGAATATATGGGTGTGGTGGGGGCTTAACGGCTGGTGGCGGTGGAGGAATATATGGGTGTGGTGGGGGCTTAACGGCTGGTGGCGGTGGAGGAATATATGGGTGTGGTGGGGGCTTAACGGCTGGTGGCGGAGGTGGCAGAGTATGTGGTGGAGGTGGCGGCTTGACAACAGGTGATGGAGGTGGAATTAAAGGACTTGGTTGCCTTGGTGCCGGAGGTGGTGGTGGTTTAGGGTGAGGTGGTGCTACCTTTCGTGGAGGTGGGGGAGGTTTGATGGGTGGGCTTGGCGGTCCCATTCTTGGAGGAGGGGTGTTAGGCTGATGTGGTGGTGCCACTTTTGGTGAGAATGGTGGGACTTGTGGTGGAGATTGAAATCCATAAGGGGTTCCTGGAGGGTAAAATGGGAAGAACTTGATATTTTGGATACCAGCCATTTCTTGTGTAATTAGTTAAACTAGTTAGAATATCCCCTTACTGTGTGCTCATCTCTATTGTCTGAGTGAGTTTTTATATTGGTGGTTTTTGAGTTATACTTTTAAGTTTCCTATTACTTGACTGTTATGTAAAGGCTTTTCTTCGATGGGGCTGTCTTTGATTGCACTGAAATTCACTCTTTTTAATTGCTCCCAATTGAAATTCGATATTTTAGAAACCCATTGCTTTTAAAGCAAGTAAGTTTGATATTCATTTACGTGTAGTTTGAGCTAATAATCTAATATTGGGGAAAAATGTCACATTGAGTGTGTATATTTTAGCCCATGAACAAACACCCCCTAAAAAAATTAAAGAAACAAAATGCTCTATTAGAGTCAAAATAAAGTTAAAATGTCACAACGAGTCTTTATACGGAGTATTTTATTTCCGTTTTAGGATCAATATTATCACAGGACCGAATCTTCTCAGTCACAATCCTCTCATATATAGAAAGTTCAACATTTTTGTAATTTCTAAATCTTCTTACGGAGTATTATGGATGTTAATTTACCTACTGCAGCTGAGATGACATTCTTTATTTCTTTACCATTGATTTTTAGGTTTTTTACAAGAATATTAATAAAATAAAACATATTTACATAAATATGACTATTCATTACTACAATGTGGTGTTGTGGTAACTTAAGCTCAAAATTTGAACATGAATTACTATGGTTTTATTACTATTCTAGTGATTAGTCATATTTTTGTAAACCATCTTTATTTTGATCATATTTATGTAATTATTTCTTGATTTTTTATGTCAATCAAATGACATTTTTATATGAGTCAGTATGACATTTTCCTGAAAGGAGATTTTTTTGTCCAGTTAATATGTCAATAAAGTGTCTATTTATGGAAATTTGTTTGGAGTCATCTTGTCGGTGCGCGGAGGCGGCATAACTTAACTAATAGATAGGGGATGTCATAAGGAATAAGTCTCGTAGTTCGATTCCTATCATATGTGCCTCTTATGTAAAAATGCAAAGGACTGCAAGTACCTGAGTGAGAGTCTCACTCGCTGTCTACCAGTTTGTGATTAAAGTTCAATTTACATCCTTACAGTTAACTGATCGGTGTTAGGGGCCCTCAGAGAAGAGGTGTTATAAATTATTTTGAAGTCATGTTGACATTTTGATGATGACAATTTGAGCAGAAAATGTTAATTTTGATCGATAAGGCGATAATGATGGTATAAAAACTATAAAGTTATACCAATAATGATGTCATTTTGATTTAAGATACATTATCTATGAGTCAAAGATTACATTTTTAAATGAGGACAATTTTGACATCTAATGCTACTTTTAGGAAAAAGTGGTGGTCCTATTCCCCTGTTCATATGAGAATATGAGATGTCTCATTTTGTAACCAACTACCATCTTTAATTTGTAGCAAAATTGGTTATAAACAACACATTTTTTGTAGTGAATTAGATCCGGCTGGGGAAGATATAGATATACACTATTATTAGGGGAGGTGGAGAAGCTAAGAACCAACACAAAGAAAAGAGTCAAAGAAGCACTCAAACTATATTATCAATTCTGTTTTTTTTTTTTTTTTTTTTTTTTTACCCCGGAAGGTAAACCACCCATCGGTGGGGCAAATGCCGGGGGACATTTGCCAGAATTTTATTAGAAAAGAGAAGGGAGCGACACGTCACGTGATATGGAATGTAAAAAAGTCTAATATTTTTTACAACCGGTAATATGATAACTTTGAGTTGCTTTCTTGTGTGTTTTATCGACACAAACAAGTATTACCTCAATCCCACTCAACTTATCTAATTTCATATTGGGTGTAGATTTGGAAACAAGTATTATCTAAGTACACAACCACAATTGTATTTCCTTAAAAAGTACTCCCTCCGTCCCAATTTGATGATCACATTTCTTTTAGGCTCAAATATTAAGAAAATGGTTAAAAAGGTAAAAGTTGTGGTTGAAATTTGAGTATAAAAAGGTGAAATGATGTGGACCACATATTTCTTTCCAAAAAGGGAAATGAGACTATCAATTTGGGACAGCCCAAAAAGGAAATACGGGATCATCAAATTGGGACGGAGGGAGTACCAAAATTCAAGAGAAACAAGAAAAAGAAATTAACAAGTGCAGTGATACCGTGGAGTAAAAAACGCTTTAAGTACTGCGATCTTCCGATTCAACGACAAAATGTGTAATAGTTGAAGGACTTTGACTCTTTTCTCTTAAATTCTTATTGCACACAATTTTTATACACAACATTTTATGTATACACGTCTTTGTCTGTGAATAGCTTTTTGATTAACATAACATGTTTTATGTGTGAATAGATTATTCATAGACAAAAAGTAACGTTTAGAGATATGGATAAGATGATGGGTACAAAATATATAGTATGCAAAAATAAACAAATGAATGAAACTATGAAAGAATCAATCGATCGGTGGTGCTGAAAGTGTTGATCGACTGCCGAGTGCTGATAGCTTCCTCGCATGCGTTGCAAGATTTTTTTTTAACGAAAAGTTGAAAAGATAGAAAAGGTGGATCCCACTAATAAGAGAAAACGAATGACTACTTCATAATTCTCCCATTTTATACCGCACTAAACAATTCTTGATAATAATTTGATATTATCAGTAATAAAATACAGAGTATATTTACGCCAAAACTCACTTTTCATAACAATTCTGTAATATATATACCCTTCTATATTTGGTACACATGGCATTGGGTAAAATGACACGTCGCACAAAAATGTTGGCATTTAAATTCTGGCATGCAAGAAACCATTTTAATTACGGATCATCAGTGTTATAGCCAGCCATTTCTCAGCCACTCTTGGTTGACTTTTCTTCCTATTCTGTCATCTGATCTCTCTTTCAATCAATATAATACTTCCTTTTATTCCTATTCTCGAAAAGGCCGGTGGGTTATAATAATGCAGCTGCTTTGCTCATCTTCCTCTGCCGGAAATGCAAAAGTTGTTCTCTGTTTGGCTGCTGCAGCTTATGTCCTGTGCTTAACATTGCTTCAAGAAGGTGTTGCAGCAGAAAGGGAACTCATGGTTGGGTTTTACTCCCAAACATGTCCTAATGCTGAATCTGTCGTGGCCTCTGTCGTCAAGGAAGCATCAAAGGTCGATCCAAGGGTGCCAGCCATGTTGCTTAGGCTCCACTTCCATGACTGTTTTGTCCAGGTTCCTTCATTTATAAACAATGATGAATATGTGAGTAATAATATAAAGTAGGGGATAAAAATGTGACTTTTAATGGACAGTGACTACAATAATAAGTGATCATTATACTCATTTTTACATATTACTGATCATGTCTATATACTCATATATAGTCCTTGAAAATTATTACTCCGTTATCAATGACAGAGCCAGAAATGTCAGGTTAGAACAGGAGTTTAGAGAATGTATATTGCGGACTCATTTTTATATTTTACTGATCATGTCTATATATACATATCTATATGCAGAGGATTACAATTTTTTTCTAACCCTTTTGTACGTGTCTCCAACATTGTCCGTCGTGATCACTGATTCACTGTAATGTAAAATTTGAGTATAATCACAATGTTGAAAATATGGTCGGTGCACGCTGCACGCAAGATCAAGATTGTCACATTTTTGTTTACTACTCCGTATTTCTATTTTTTGGGCAATATATAAGTTTTTCCCCATATATTTAAAGAAATAGCAATATATATGTGACATGATGAAATTCTCCATTTTTTTTAATGAAAGGGGTGCGATGGGTCGATTTTGATTACCAACAATGAGATTAATGGCCAAAATGAGAAGGAAAGAAGTGCATTTGGGCATCAAGGCGTGGGCGGAGATGAGGAGATACAAAGAGCAAAAACGGTGTTGGAAGATGAATGCCCTGGCGTTGTCTCTTGTGCTGATATTGTCGCTTTGGCTGCTAGAGATGCTGTCGTCTTAGTAAGTCTTTTTTCCTTTTCTACTTTCTTTTTCCAATTTTAGCTCTTTTTTTAGTCTTGGGAAATTGCTAATTATAATTATAATGGGTATAATTGCAAAAGCTTAAAAAAATACTCATATCTATTTAGGAAATTTCAAAAGCCTAGGCCTCTCCTATTTTTGAATTTCCTCATATTTTATTTGTATTTGGGGAATTACCTCTATTGCTAACCCCGTTTCAATTCATATTTTCTTCTCTTTAGTGTTAATTTACAGAGAAGTGATTTAAAGCAAAGACAAAAAATGCGGGATCAACGAAACTAAGTTCTATTTGAAGTAAAATATTCTAAATTGATAATCAAAGTAAGCAGCTTTGTCCAATTAAATGGGTAATAGCGGGTGGAATAAATGGGAAAACTAGAATGTTTAAACTAAAGAAAACACACACATAAAGAAATACTTCGAGGTGTACAACTGATGATGTACACGTTTTTTGTGTACTATCTTTGGCATATTTTTTTGTCTAGATAGTTATAGTTAGAGTTGTTTGTGTATAGATGACTCTAAAGGGTCTTACATAATTGTGTGTATACAGACAAAGTAAACTTTGTCTGCATAGACAAATAAGAGCTTCAAAGGTGTACACAAAAAAACGTGCAAACCAAGCATGGCTCGTATACTATCCTCGTTCTTTAATTCTTGCAACAGTTTGACTTTCACGTTTGCCAATGTATAACTTTGATTGTAATTATACTTAATTGTGTATAAGTAAACATGTTGATATTTTGGAAATTTACATTGATAGTAATTCAATAACATTTTATACGTAATAATTTGATTATGTATATTAGTAGAAAATCATAGTCAAAATAAGGAGGAAATGTATTATAATTTGTAACGTAACTCGGGTTTGTTTATGCCCGTAGCGATTGACTTTTTAGCTACAAACTCCCCTTGTTCCAACTTCCGAGAGTTCGTTCCGATCCTTTAATAACATTAATTGCAAATGTTACCGTTTGGAAGCTACATTTATATACAAGCAACCTGATCAGGGATTGAGCTGTCGTAGTAAAAAGATGCTTTCATGCATCTCTCAATTAGACAATTACAACACTTTGTTACACGTATTACATATACCCATGCATACGATTATTTCGGTAGTTCAATATTTTATAGAAATAAAACTTAGAGCATCCATATTGATGATCTTCAAATTACAATTTTTCATGGCTTATTATTGTCATGTCACCTTCA